GGGAAGGAGGAGGGGGGAAGGCAATTTTACAACGTGACAGTCAAACATCTACTCTAATCCAGTGGCCGCATATCAGGCAAGATTTTGGTATTCTCTACCAGACTGATGCTTCTTGTTATGGTGTGGTCTACAACGAGATGCAAATGACTACAAAACCAAAAGCGAGAGGGTCCCACTCTCCTTGAAACAGCACTTTCAAGGCCTGTTTCTATATTAAGCTTCACTCAAAACATGAGTGAAGGCAACTGCATGCTAGTTCTTCTTACTGAGGGAAAAGAAGTAGACAGGAGCTTCAGACTGGAAACATGACTGTCCTTTACTGACTAATTCTGGATTTTGCTTTCCATTTTGCAAGCATTGGGTAATAACGGCAATCAGATAGCTTGATCCAATCACAGAATACAACCAAACCAAGGCAAATCAACAGATTACTTTCAACTTAATTATTTTCCAAATTTAGGCTCCCCTGTATCTCCAGCGTGTGCAAGTGAAAGGGCCTGAAGCCTGAATTTGTAGTTCCCCTTAAAACGTAAGATATACTCTAAAAACACAAACCAACCAGTCATTAAAACTAACCAATGTTCAAGTTTTGATAGCCAAGCAATCACAGATGCTGTGACTGCAAATTTGTAGCTGACCATAACTTATTCCACTTAAAAAGAAACAAAACCTGATCCTGTTTCATAAAGAAAAACTCATCAATACCATGATTCTGGTTTGCCACGCAGTTCAATGAGACAAAAAAAAAAACCCACCACCAAACCACAAAACAAAGCAGTGCAAGAAAGAAATTAAGTGAAGAAAAACGTGAATTGGCTTTGTTTTCAGAAATTTACCCATCCCTGTACACAATGCAATGGAAAATGCAATTGGACAGAAAAACCTTGGAAATAAATCTGACTTGGAAATAACAGTAGTATTTTGGTGTTTACAGTAAGACTATTTCAACTTCTCAAAAAAGAGCAGCTCTTTGTGATTGTTTACTGAGCTCCCTCCCCAAAGTTTAACATTGCAGAAAGCAGTTATATTTACCCAAGAGGTTAATAATCCCTTCGTTATACGCCGCGAACAGTCTAATGGCATCTTTGAAGAGGAGCATGAAGGCAGCATTAATTACACCATTTGTAAGTTCATTGCTATTGACCTAAGAAGATCAGAAAATAGTTAATTTAATTGAATTGATCCCTTATCAGAAAACTTCTAGTTGAATTCCAGTACTCTATCCCAAGGCATGCTTTCCAGTCATCTCACTGTCTATTAATGGAAAGTAGCAGCATAGCAAATCAACACAGGATCACTCAGCACAGAATTAAATCAAGTCATTTTGGCAGACATTTCTGTTAACTAATGTTAGTGTTAACTAACATAACTAAAAGACAGAGGGCAGAAATAATCAACTTTCAAACAAACAAACAATTCTTACACAATGTACACAATAAACAACACTAATTTAGTACAAAGCAATCTCTCCAGTGAGCATCATATTTCTTTTTTCTGGTTTCTTGGGAGTATATCAATGAACAAAATGATTTGTGCTCTTTAAACTGTGCAGATAACATGGAACCAAGTTCAAGACCTTTAATCTTGACCTATTTTACAAGCTTGTGCAGGTTTGTACAATAAAGTCAGTAGTATGTTAGACACGTACACGCTGCTAAACTTACATTGAAGTCAAGAAGTGCATCCATTTGGTTTTGTATAATTGGTACAGTTTTTAAGAGTTTTTCTGTGCTCATTGTTCTCATCACTCCGTCAGCCCTGTTGTGCAAAACAAAAGAAAGTTCTTCACCTGAATTTTGAAGGCAATTGTTAGTGAGAAACATAACGTAGACAATAAAATAGGTCATCAGAGAAAACATTTAAATCATTGCCATTCAAAGCAGGCATTCTGTTGTTTAGGAACTCTGTCTAGCCAATACAGCTGTAATAACTGCAGGGTACAAAAGCAACAACTTTTATTTGGCCAAAATATAAATCCAAGATGAATTTTTATTCAGAGGAAATGAAACTGATAGTGCTCAGAAATATAGCAGAGGTATGATGCATCAGGTAACCAAAAAAATGCTCTGAAGGTTATTTCTGAAGCAAATTTTTACCTATGTTTTTTCCAGTCACTGATTATTATTCTGTGTCGGTTTGGATGATTTTCTTTTCAACTAAAAGCAGTAAGAAAGAATAAACAAATGTGACAATATCTTTTTCAAGCTTTTTCAGAAAGATTATAGAGACTACATGAAACTTACTTTTAATGGCTGACTACCAATATTTGGTTGTTTATTAGTTGTCCAGATTAAATAGACTACGACTAAAAATATCCAAGAAAAGCAACAACTGAGGAAGAGATTAAATCACCTCAGTGGCAAGAAACAACTGCTTTCTGTAAGACCACTCAGACAGCCTTGCAAGTTGCATCAGCATGCACACAGCAAACCAAATGTCTCCTGCAAGTGTAAATCCCACAGTGCATCTGCACAGAAAAGGCTGTGGCTGTTCTCCAGGCTGGAAAGCAATGGGGAGCCCACCGCTTCCAGCTTTCTACTTGTGCCATATACTCCCTCCTAACCACAAACAGCAACTGCAATAAACCTAACGTGGCAGGGCATGGGAGCAGAGCCCCTGAGAAAAAAAATGAGGTGTAGAAAAGGTAGATTGCTGCCACTAGAACAGTTATTCCTGCTGGCTCACAGAAGGACCTCCAGACACATGCTGTGGGCTAAATAGTTCACCTCATTGGGCCTAAAACACCTGATTATAAAGGAATTGTGTAAGTCTCTAGTGTATCTGCAGCCATCTGACCACATACATATCCTATATGCAGAAAAGGCTAAGTGTTTTACGTTGTTGGGACTCCAACCGTATCTAAAGGCAGAAACAGTGAAAGGAGCCCAAGCATTCCCCTTTTACTTTACCATCACATTTCAAAACAAAATGGACTGTACAGTATTAGCAAGGAGGTGTAAGGGATTTGGACAGTCTTCTCGGGCCAATTTTAAATGGCTTTGTAACACTAATGCAAGATTTCATTAGGCAGCCCACTATTGCAACAGTTTTAGGTTGAGATTTTTGTGGGTTAGTTAAGAATTAACTTTTAAGCATCAAGATAAATTTTCCTGTGTATGGATGATAAAGGATGCCTGAATGTAAAACTAAAATTATGTTTTTAAACTTTAAAAAGCACTGCATACAGAGGTAATGGACAAAGATGGAAAGACTTTCAACTGTGACCAGTACATCCTCTCCAGCCTTCCCAATGAAGGAGATCTCCAGATGAATTCCATCGTTCACTATAACATGCAATTTACCCAACTACTGGTGCTCTGCACTGCGTTATTTTACATGTAAACCGGTACCTAGTCTCAAACAACTGATTTCTCTTAAAGGAGCTCACTTTCCAGGGAAAATTTTAATTCATGTAGACAAACTCTTCTGAGTAGCATCTACTACAATGTTCTGTTAAAAGTATGAATTGCACTACCTTTACAAAGGTAGTAAACGTCATACATTTTGGGACAAGAACAGAGAAATACCAGAAAGGACTGCAAGGTGTTTCATGAAACACCTGTCATTTAAACATTCCAGAGCTAGAAACACAAGTAAATTGCATAGTCCCCTATACTACATGCAAGACAAAGTAACTCTGATCTATCGTGGAAGATTTGTCCAAACTTCTACTTTTTTGATATATACTTTGATGCATACCATTTTTCACTTCTTTATATTAAACTGTTAATGTTTAAAGAAGTAAAGTTACAATAACTGAAGTAAAATATTTTTGCAATATACATAACTGGGCAGTCGAGCCTTTGTGTGTCATGGGAGTTATCCAACTGACAAAAGCAGACATTACTGTCTGTACTAAGTTGGAGCCAACATTGGTATTTTCCACTTGAATTACAGGACATAAGACAAAACCTCAAGATAAGCAAAACAAAATACAGTCCTTACCCTCTTTTTACTTTTGTGAAGTCAAAAGCCACTTGTCTATAGGAAACTGCCTTTTCATTCAGATACCTACTATATCGTCTGATAAACGTTGACATGTCATAACCTAAAAAACAAGTTTCAGAAGCTTATTACTTACCTAGTCAATTAAAGATCAAGAACCTTGCTCTAAATAACGTGCAAGATATTAACGCAAGACAGCTTCATTATATTTTTGCCTGATTTTGTATAGTTCATCTGTTACAAAGAGCTGTGTACATCATTGTAGTCACCATGTAAATTAAACAGACAATACTCCAAATATCTAGAAGACCTGAACTATGTAGAAGTTTACACTTCACTTCCTAATGAAATAACTTCCAAAGGCAAAACAAAGTATCTTCATGCAAGTTCTCTCATACTATGATAGAAATTACTACCAGAGAAATTACACGATGCATTCACGAAGACGTTTGCATCAACTCCACAACACATTCTCTCATTTACAACTGAGCAGAAAGAGGCATTGAAGGAAACGTTAAGACATGATAGAAATTTTTCTATGTTAAGACAGTGGCAATAGGAAACATTTTGATAACTGTCAGTCCAAGGATATGGACCAAGATTTGTTCATAGTCTATACTGAGACCATGGAAGTTAAGACAATAAAATGAGGCAATTTGGTAGACCCTCGGTTATCACTGAGCAGGTTTCTGTCCCCAGGCAACCATTCTGTGTGCCTTTTTTAGTACACCTGTGGCAAAGATTAGAACCAGCTATATAAAAAGCAATGCAGAAAGTAAGAAATGACCTCAGGAGAAAAAAAGATGACAGCTACATGTACGATCAGAACTGCACTGAACTGCAGCATAACAATTTGGAAGGGTATTTCAGCTGAAAAATCTGAACCAGAGAGAAACTTATTTGCCCATAGAATTAGTCTCAAAGATGGATGGAATGGTCTTCAAACAGTCTCCCAAGAAGTTAATTTATTTATTTTTTTTTTTAGACACTTGTCTCACTGACTCTCACTTTGCTCTCTACAACTACCTGAAAGGAGGTTGTAGTGAGGTGGGTGTCGGTCTCTTCTCCGAAGTAACAAGTGATAGGACAAGAGGAAATGGCCTCAAGTTGTGCCAGGGGAGGTTTAGATTGGACGTGAGGAAAAATGTCTTTACTGAAAGAGTGGTGAAACATTGGAACAGGCTGCCCAGGGAAGTGGTTGAGTCACCATCCCTGGAGGTATTTAAAAGACGTGTAGATGAGGCACTTAGGGACATGGTTTAGTGGGCATGGTGGTGTTGGGTTGATGGTTGGACTCGATGATCTTAGAGGTCTTTTCCAACCTCAATGATTCTATGATTCTATGACATGCTACATCTGATGTACATATGATGCATTTTTTTAAATTTAACTTACTAATCAAAATATACCTCTCCAAATGGAGAAATCTCTTCAGAAATAGGAGGAATACTAAGTCAGATCTGTTTAGCTAAGAAAGTTAGAAGCATTTATAAGTAAGCCTTTCCTAAAAGACACAACAAATTCCTCCAGCAGACAGCTTCTGCCATGCCACAATAGCACTGTAAATGAAGAAATGCAGTCTGGGGTAAAACAGACAGAAATTACTTCTTAAATGACACAGTCCATTAGAGTTACCAAGTTGTATTTACTGTCCCCCAGCACACTACTAACTTTTAATGAAAAAGACACCTTACCTTGCAATCCACTTTTGTCTAGGAAATTGCTCAAATTAAACAATGTGTTTCTGGACGCCAGATACTGGATAAAACGCTAGATGAAAGGAAAAATTTGAATGCTTTTACTATATTACCAATGAGCTGGAACTGAGGTAACAGTACTAGAAACTCTTTTTATCCAGCTTATGAAATTCAGCTTTTATGCTTTAAGACTGATTTCAAATCTGGAAACTATTACAAAAACTCAGCTAAGTTTTCAAATGAAGCTAGTTATTATTTTTTATGTAAAAATCTGTGAACAAAGCAAAATCATGTAGATACTGCATGAAGGCCTCTGACTGAAAGACTGTTTATTTTAAGCCAGAATATGGAATTGGAAACTTCTGAAAAAATCCCCCCAAATACGTTCTCATTTTACATGCTCACAATTGTTTCACTAACTTCAATTTTATAACAGTTGATTTCATTTTACCAATTAGCCAAGGCATCTTTGCTCAGCATACAATTTTAATAGTACTTAGCTCAAATATGAAAATAAGGTGATACAAAGATTAGTTGGCTTATAAATCAAACGTTAAACAAACATAAGAATCCATATAATACTTTAACACAGTATCACACTTAGTACATCTCATTAGTTACATATAATTCTGAATTATGTTTCACAAAAATGAACGATGCTATTTTCATCTTGTAAAGACACATTTCAGGTCATATTCAGTAGGAAAAATAATTTTGTCTTGTGAACCACTGTATAGAGAGCTGCTACAAAAATAAACCAATCATTCACTTGTAATAACATTTGGACAGAGGAAAAATAGTTGTGATTAGTGTAACATGTACTACTGAATTATTTTCATTAGCATAAATACACAGGTTACATATAAATAAAGACTGGAGAAGGGTAAAAGCACTCAGTACTTAGCTATAAATGAATTAAGCAAAAGCTGGAGGACCAAACACTTCTCAGTTTTTTTACAAAGGGATTTACAGATTCTCTATAAACTTCTAGACATTTTCACAAGCACTCAATTTTCACGTTCATTGTTCAAGTACTACTTCTAGCTGTGAAAAGTTTCATCTTGAGCAGCAATCTTGCCCTCATTACTTCTGTAACACATCTGGCAAGCAAAATTTGTTTGGCAGTTTTATTCTTAAAATGGAAAATATTTCAGACAGTAGTCCCATGAAATACCTTTAATTACTATGAAGTGTATTGGTATCAGTTTAAAAATTATGACTCAAAGTGCAAGCACAGCAGAAGTGTAGAGTCTATTTTGGAAAGTGTCAGTTATCCCAGTGATAATGCTTAAAGTCAACACGAGAAGTTTGCCCTCTTGTGGCTTACTTAGCTTCAAAGTATAGATTTTTCACCAAGACCAGAAATACACTGCAGCTGACCTGCGAGAGAAACCATTATATATTTTTTTTTTTTTTAAAACTTAAAATCCTTCACAAAACAGCCAGTCAGCCAGAGGAAGCAGTTACACGACCTATAAGAACTCTGAATGCAACGTGAAATGAGAAGCTTTGGTCCTCTCCACAAAATTCTACTTGTAATTTTCTGAAGGTATCCCTCTTAATTCCAAAATTCACATAGCTTACATTATACTGACTGTTTGCAGTAAAAAGGAATGTTAAAGCAGCCTTCGAAGTATAGTTTGGGGGTTTTTTTAAATGCAGAAAATTCAAGCTGCTGCTATGCTTGGCTTGGCATCTCAAAAAATAAGGCCCCATAGGAATTCAAGCTGTGGAACAAAACAAGCTTATTCCTTTTTGTTTAAATTGGGGTTTTGTTTAATTGTTCTACAGTATTTGGTGTTATTTAGATGCTCAAAGCCAGCTCACAGGCACACATTTGCCTTCACTGCAAAAGGTTACGGGGTGATGGTACAAATCCGTTCAGAATCGAATTATCTGGCAGAAAAGACCATCTGGATTAGCTACAGCATGAACCTAAAAATGCTTTCATTTTCAGCTTTCAGAACTCCATTCAAGATAATTTCTGTTGGTTTCATCTGTTTGGTTTTTTATTATTAGAATAACACCACAGAAAAAGGTACCTCCAGCATTGAGGACACTTACTTTTCATTCTAGAATTACAAACTTTAAAGTACAAACAAAGTAGACAAACACATAATGAGACCTGTGTTCATGCAGAGTTAAGACACAAAAAGGTAAAAATAAAGATTTTCTTACAAAGATAATTAGTGGAAGCATTTAGCTGACATTTATAGAAATGAAGTGCTGTAACTGTTCTCAGACATACTATTTTTTGTATTACCTCATTTCCATACACCATTAGGTGATGGGTTGTGATGAGAGATTTGAAGACCACTACCCAGCTACTGTTGGTAGTTCTTTCAAACAAACTGTCTGCCAGTTGTGGGATGTTCACATTCATCTCATTTGTGCACTGGATTAAATCTGCAATACAGAAATTTTTATTATTATGAGTTCTGTGAAGGAAGATCAATAACATACAAAAAAATCAGTACACTCTTTTAATATAGTAATATTTTCTATGAAAACTGAGGGGCTTTCCAGTAAAATAAATAATTTCTTAAAAAGCACCATGGCACTGCTCTACCAGAACCTCGTAATACAAACTCCACTCTGCTCACTACCAAGATTCCTGGTCCTTAGTTGGTTTTGCAGTTGCCTTAGAAGGTCCTGGAACAGAAGTACCCTAATGACTTACACTACCTGACTAACAACTCCCAGCTTTCAAACATCTAAAGCATTAATAGCAAAATAATTCTTACATGTTACCATTTAATCAAGTTTTACTGGAAGATTATGACTAGAATTAATTGTAAACCTCAGATTTCTGGTCTCTTAATAGACCAGTAAACCCTCCTAGACATTGGTTCAATGTGAGTAATAAAACATTAAAATACTGCTTAGTTTTGATACAACGCAATCAACATCTTCAAAAGGACACAGGAAATGTTAAGTGAAAAAATAAGCCTCTAGCTACAATGCCAGAAGCTGACAGATGAATTTAGTTACAACAAAGTGGGTTATTAACTGAAAAGATGGTTAGGAGCACAGCAAAACCTGGGGTTGGCTAGCTAAAACAAAGCTACCCAATTTTTGTTCAACCTGGACTTCTAGTAGACAAGATCTAGTGACTCTTCAAACAGTTGTTAAAAAAAGTTACCCTATCTTTCTTCTAGATTTGCTACTGTCACAACTGTATAACCACGAGGAACCATACTCATAATATAACTGATATAATAATACGTAATAATCCAGTAACTTATTTCCAAATGCCGATGAAGGAAGCGATGACTTAAGATCATGATGCTACAGTGACAAATACAACAGAAGCAACCATATTAACATCCAAATGTGGTATAACAGCTTGCTAGCATTTAATATGAAGCTTAAACTTAATGCAACATAGTACTGATGACATTTTACTACTATTACCACCCCAAAACCAAAACAGTAATTTTCACTCAAACTGCCAGCCTGCCAAAGGCCATAGCTCAAAAAGGATCAAGCCTTGAGTAAGCCCTACGCCTGCCTGTCTATGGGCTACTAAGACTAACTGGAACATCTGTTTAATCTGAAGGGAAACGTTAAGCCTTTGAAGACAGTTTTATATCCTGCTATGAACATTCTATGTTCATAGCTGTAAACTAGGAATCATTCATCAAGAAGGACTCCTGAAAGACAGGACCCTCCTTCAGCCGCAGAAGCGGGTAAGCATGGCTACTGCAAACTCAGAATTAGTACGGTCAGAACTGAAAAAGCTGCTATTTACAAGTTTAAGTATTAAAGGAAGCAAGCAGGAAATTATTTCCACATTCAAAATGTAATGAGATGGAGAGATTAGCCATCCTTTATCTACAAGTAAAACTGTGATGACTACAGGCATTCATGACCTCATTTTTAAGTCACAGTTATCTATTATTGGATGATGATTTGGGGCTGTTAAGACAATGCTAGGATATTACTCAGCAAGAGAGATGCTCTGAACTGGATCATTAAAACCAAGCCCTGCAGCTTCTTGATCTTCAGGTCTTCCCACCTAAGTAATAACACAAGCAGTTTTGTGCAAGGCTATCTGGCAGGAATGCACATTAAATGCAAAGGTATATGCATCACAGGATGCCAAGTCATACATTTTGGCATAAGAGGTGCAAATGCATATTAGAAAGTGAGAACTTCTATTCTTAAATGCAACATTTGCCAACTAGTCAACAGTAACAAAGAAAAAGGTGCCACTTGAAAATCCACTATCTAAAATTACTAAAAAGTTATATCCATTCTAGGTGATGTTTTGTGCCAGAAGAAACGTTTTCTAAAACGTCACTGGACTTTCAAATCATGTTTTGGTATCTGTTGCGGTGTGTAAAAGAAAACAGGCTCTGTAACCCAGCAGAAAATCATTCCTCACAGAACTGATGAGTGTTTATGTGAAAAGCATATGAATGAACTTGGGGGGCGGGGGGAGAGAGGGCAGGCATATTAGGAAGGAGAACTAGTAGCTAACTGGGAGAGAACATAGGCAAGAACAGAAGTACACAGGCAAGTCTAGCCTTGAATGGAAGGAAGTAAATTTGCAAATGCAAACAAGGGAAAGAGTCACTGCAATACCAGTTACTACAAACTAAGTTTAGCAAAACATGAAGTTTCTTTCTCTACAAAATGCAGGTTGAACAACACAGATGCTTAATAATCTGATGTATGTCCTGATACCCCAAAGTGCCTACATCATATACGTTTCAAAAAAGTTACATCTATCTAAAAGCTTCTTTGAAAAGTATTTGCATGAGCAATGCTAATTAGATAAAGAAATATTTGTACATTTAAATCCAGATTAGATCAGCGGTTTTTGTGCTAACCATAGCATAAGAAGCATAATACAGACACAGCAGAAGAGAAGACAGTACCCTGCATCCCACACTGCTGCACTGCCTGTTCAGGAAGACTGTCGCATACAGTGTTCTTGCTTATTTATCCTATTCTCACAGACACCCTTCATTAAGGGAGAGGAACAAATATATAATTATTTTCACATCCTACACTTTACACAACCCGTCTCACACCCACCTATGAAAATATTAGCTACATATTTTGAAACCTAAGTGCCCAAAGCAACATATCGCACAACTGCTAGTTACTGGGTTTGGTATGAGCAATACGACAGGCAGGTATATAACCAAAGGGCAAGGCACTAATGGGAATAGCTTTAACCTTAGAAAAGAACAAAAATCAAACAAACAAAATATCAAGCAAACAAAAAGGGATAAGCCTTGGTGAAACCGTGATGACTTTTCATCTTTGAACTTCTTGTCATAGGAGAGAAGGAGAAGGATTGAATACTTACCCCCACCAATACTATAGAAAGGAAAGTCACTGACTCTGTTGTCTTTCTGCATTAATGCCCACAACACCTCACAGCTGAAAAAGACACTCTCCTGGGAAGTACAAACCACCTTCCCAACTCTAAAAGCTGCTACAACTTCCATAGCATAAGACACAGAGCACAGAGATACTAAACAATAAACATTGATCATTGTTTCAAAGAAGGCAGCAGTTAGCAACAAGAATTTTAAGTTAAGCTTGCAGCTGGCTGGGAGAGTTGTATGAGGGAAGCTTAGACAGCAATGAATGCACAGTCACATCCACGGATGTAGCTGGAGACAGCCCGGAGAAAGGCCATCAGGATGGCCAGGGCTTAGAGCACACAATGCACAAGAAGCGGTTGAAGCAGGTGGGTTTATTCCATCTGCGGAACAGAAGGCTAAAGGCAGGGAGGCGGAATATAAACGTTATCTTCAGTCAGATGTTTCTTACAGTTCACAGGTCTAGAGCCTGTAAGCAACCAGATCTTTTAAAGTTTGACATGGTTTAAGCAGGGGGTTGATTAAAGGACCTTCTGAGGTCCCTTCCAACCTAAAGTAATCTATAATTTTATGTACTGTCTATGGAAAGAGAATGAGAAAATGGAGACAAGCAAAAACAGAGAAGTGACTTACAAAGTTAAAGTCCAGAAGAGTAGTGTACTCCAACAGGAGTATATTCCTAAAGATTTCAAAACCTTAGACCTATTTAAGTGATTGTTAAGGCTTATGTTTTGAAGAACTCCATTTACCTACCTACACTAAATCATACACCAAATTTCAGCAGAGATGTCAAAACTAGATTTTCCTAGGAAACAGTTCTAGTTTGTTTTTAACTAAAAGAAACTAAACCATATTTTTGTTATAACAGTTAAAATTTTCACCACTAAATGACTTTCACATAATTCAGTTCTGTTTTTTTCCAACAAAGAGATTTTGCAAGGAATCATAACAAAGGTCTGGTCTACAGACATTTCAGTAACACTGAAGACTGGCAACTGCTCCTATACCAAAGGCATTGTATTGCCTAATCCTGCTGAAGTTAACTAGTACAAAATGTGCAGTAAAATACTGTATAATGCTCTGGGTAAGAAGAATACATACGCACTCCCAGTCAAGGTATCTACAGTCTTCACAACTGTTCAGCCTTCGTTACAGGAAAGAACCAAATGTTTCATTGCTTTACACAATTGATAGTTATTAGGTGAGAGAAGTATAAGGTGAAAAGTACAGTAAAAGTACAGCAAGACTGAAGATTCATACCCAAGAAACAAGAAGCGATCCTCTACGCAAAGCAGCTACTACAAGGCTAAGGTGTTGAAGTACAGCATCTACTCCACACTAGGCATATAGATGTGGATTAGCCAACCCATGCTAAGTGTTCATATGATTCTTGACCCACGGCAAACATGGGGCAGTCAGCCTAGATAGTAACAAAGGCATCTGCCACAAATTATCCTAGAGAACGTGTGCGCTTTCAACACGTGCCTGTGACCTAACTCCTTGTGCAGAACCTCATTCTGCACTAGCAGCCTCCTAAGACAAAGTTATGAAAAACCAGTCTACTTCCCCACACAAAAAGAACCATCAAGCAAGCTGAACATGTTCTTATGAATTTCCTTCCAGAATCTTACCCATATTCATTTGCAGTAAGATTATAAAAATTTGGCTTGAAAATAGGCTTCGCTAACTCAGACTGTATCATTTGCAGTAACTTGAATAGCAAACTGAACATAAGCCAGAATTACGTACTTCATGTACTGATTATTTCCAATGGTTTAGCTATACCTCCCATTTTGAACAACGTTTCTATTCATAAGTATCAACCTGAAAATATTTACAAGAACCAGATCTTCCAGGCCAGAAAGCGCGCCCCACACCTCTAGTTACTCCAAAATAGGTCAAGCAACTGTGACAGATTCCCATCTTGCCAACTATTGCTTTTTCATCTATTATACCAAAGATGCTACCTAGAGTGAGCGCATAATTGGTTATATTCTCCAACATGCTGACTTCTTTTTTTTATAATGCGAGAGACTACCCATCCAGCAAGCAGGCAATTGAATTACT